TAAATTACAAACTAGTCTTCTTCTTATAAAACTAAACTATTAGCAATTCTATCTGTTATCTCAACTATTCTATGCAACTCTAGTCTACAAATCTTTACTAATTTACAATTAGTTATATTCAAATACAACAAACTTCTAACCCTATTTTCTCACTTTACTAAAAACTTTAAGTTTAACTCCTGACTTATTTGGCATACACTTTTTAATATTTTAAAAGCTTTTAATATCTAACTTTTTCTTTACAAAGTTTAGATCTACTTTGACAATATCTTCAATAACTTCACAAACTTACTTGTCAATAACTATTCTAGCTCTCCCTTGTTATTATTCATCTACACTAACTCCTACTTTACTTTATTATAGAAAAACAACTTTGTTGATAATTCTACTTGACAATTTATTAAAAACATATATAATATATACAATATAGCTCTATGGTCTTCTCAATATCATGCCCAAGAATGATCATATTTTTCTACCAAATTAACTAGAATGCCTTCTGGCTATACTTTAATAATAATCAAAAAACTTTCTATAACTTACTAATCCTAAACTAAACTATCTAAAAGCTTTTAAAATTAAAATATTATTTAATATTTTACCTACATATGTATATTTTTACAATATATATCCTTACATATTTATACTTCCAAATTGCTTTTCTTGTAACAACCCAGACTCCTCTTTTCACTGGTATATTTGCTCTAGCTATATCTTAAATTAAACTATTAACTTTCTATATACAACACTTTATCTAACTCTAATCTCAATCTTTTTTTGTCCCAACTAAACAACCTTATACATACTATCTTATTATATCTAGCTTTTTATTCTCAACTTTCTCTACTTTATTTATTTTTTTCTACTCTATACTTAAAGGCCTTATCTATTTAACCCTCTTTAATCTTTTTTTGGTCGTGTACTATAAATTGTTACTTATTATATTTATATTTGTTTATTAATTTCATTTTTTATTAAATAAGATTATACTTGTGATTAGCTATATTTTCTTTTATATTAAAATAGAAATAATTTTTATCAAAAAATTTTATATTATCTTGATCATATTTGATCAGAGCATATAGAGCTATAGGTGCTATATACTCTATATGCTTTATATACTCTATATGCTCTAATTAGATCTAATCAGACCTGATCAGATTTTGCATGTACTCCTAATAATTTTTATTATATTTGAGTTGTATTTATAAAATTTTTAAGAATTTGAATTCTAAAAAAGAGGATTTTTCTTTATTTACTACATTTTATTGACATATACATGGTTTTGATTTTAACTATTGCTTATAAACCTCTGCTGATTCAAATCAGGTTATTTCAGTTAGGGAGGTGTCATTTATTACATAATTTTTTACAAATAGTAAATTTACCCAATATGATAAATGATAGTTAGTATTTAAATTAAATCTGCTAATTAGATAGACTATATCTGGTACTAAATAAAATTGAATGCCGATGACTGGCAGAACTTATATTGATATACTTGATATTTTGTTAGGGATCTCCTTTCAAAAAAATCACTTAATAAATAACACCTCCCTTAGAACTTGGATTAGTCTGAAAATATTTCTAAGAAAATATCATAATTTATTCAGGCTATACTGAGCATGATCTGAATTAATGATGCCTAACACCAATCAGGTTGATATAAACAATCTAAAACTAACCTGATTATAATAAATTTACTATTAAGAGTCTAGAAACATGTAGTGGTTATTGGTAGGGTGCAGTGTCTAATTAACAGTTATGAAGATCACTTATCATAAATAGGTTTTCTGGTACTAAAACTTTTAAAAAAAATATAGAGCCTTTAGTGATTAAAGATGTAATCAAAGTGATAAAAGCTTTAAGTATAGAAATTAAAATTAGTATAAGTGCTAAAAGTAATATAAGCACTATATTACTAATAAAATATATAGTTTGTTCTAAGTAAAAAAAAGTATATAATAAAGGCTTCTCACCTTTAAGAAAGGATATTCTTCAGTTTTAATTGATAATTAGTACTTTGTTACCCCACTTCTTATATTGATTAAAATAAACTAATTAATAAACTACAAAGTAGTATAGTAGTGTGATTCTTTATTTATATTCTTAACTCCAAAGTATTATTTAACACCTTTTTCAATAAGTTGTCTGATGTGCTAGTTTAGATTGTGAGATCAATTTTACAGTTGTTATTATATAGGTCTTAACCTATATACTGTTTACTTTTAAAATTAGACACCTTCTTGAAGCAATTTTTATAGCCAAATTTTTCATGATCTAATAATCAGATCTAAATAATTTTGATATTATTTGATCTGTTTTGGCAAACTGATTCAAATAGTACTAAAATTATACAAATCTGATTATTAGATCATGAGAATTTTGCTATAAAAATTGCTCTAAAGGGTGCTTAATTTTGGAAGTATACAGTAATTGATTTATTATAATTGGGTTAGTTTTGGGTCATTAGGGTTGACCTAATTAGATCACTAGTGATACTTAACAAAACTATATTGTCTTTTGAAATAGAACTAACTAAATACAGATTTAATTGTCAACTGTCTTCAAAGTTGTAAATGGCATATTTTAAAGCTAGTTTTAGAATATAGAACAAGCTGATCAAAGCTGATAAGCTGCAACTTAAGCTATAACTAAGTATTAGTTGTATATAGTTTAGATTAAACCATAATTATTGAAGTCATGACTTATATTATGACTGGCTACAGTAATAATAATTTTAAAGCAGTATAGTATTTGAAGAAGCTATACAAGTATTAATAGCTTTAAAAATCTTTAACAGGTTAGAATTGGTTTACAAAATTTTTTGTCATATAAGTGCTGCCAAGAAAAAAGAGCACCTTAGCAATTATAGTATATTACTAATTAATTATAGAGATTAGCAATGATGCAGATTCAGGTTTTCAATTATACAATATAACATATACAAGACTCTGAAAATTGATAATGATTTATACTAAATTTTTGTATTAATTAAAAGCCAAATCTGTATTATTTTTGAACTCTATAATTAATCAGTAATATACTATAATTGCTGAGATTCTTTTTTTTTCTTGATAGCACTTATATAATATCAGCTTTCACATAATATTTCAATTAAGTATTTCTTATTTACTTAATTGAATTAATATATATATTAATTAATTTCTTATTTCAATTTTATTTATATAATTTAAGATTCTCTCAAACACCAATTTTTAATTGGTAGAAAGTAGTTTAACCAGTGAGTAGATTTATTATTGCAATAAAAAAAAAATAATTGAAGCTATTTTTTTTGTCAGACTTTAGCAAAATTACAGTAGAGATCACTTCAATTAACATTGTATAATTATCTGGAGTGTGGCAGAGGATCTTTAATATTTGCATATGATAATATATAAGTTATGTTTTTGATGCATTAGTAACTAGATGTTTGATTGCTTTTTAATGTTATTTAAGCTATTGTATCAAAAATATAAATTTGAAAATTCATATCTGTTCATATGTGTTTTAAATTTGTAATTTTAAAGTGTAGCAAAAATATGCATATTTATATATTTATGCAATAAGATAGCTATTATATAATACACTCTGGACTCATGCTATTATCTTTTTAGTATTTATAAATAATCTTGATAGCTATCTAATCATATTAAGTAATCTTAGTCTAAGTATAGTAATTATTCATTGGTCTGATTGGTTTAAGTATTTAATATAGGCTGTTTACATCTTATTTAGTTTCTTATCCATATATACAGTATGAGCAATCATTGATAGAATGCAGAAACGATTTTATAGATATATGATCTTTTACTATATACTGTATTTGCTATATATAGTGCATTGGGTATTTAATAGTGATAATAGATATAATTAGTATAAATATTATAATTAGTATAAATAATATAGCTATTATAATTGATATAGGTATAATTAGCATAAATATTACAATCATTATAAGTAATATAACTATTATAATTAATATAGATATAATTAGTATAAATATTATAATAGGTATAAGTAATATAGGCTCTTTTGTATACTTATAGCTACTTTTAGAAGCAGTTTGGGATTTCCCCTTTCTAGCACTTGTGTGTTGTTCTTGTTTAGTTTTCAGCTTATCTAGTCTGTTCAGGATTTAGTTTAACAAGTTTTTAATTTCACTACTTTCTTTTTTAAGTGGGCTGTTTTTGTTAGTATTTGTTTTTACATCTTTGCTATTTTTTGCATCTGGTTTGCTTGCTAGGGTTTTCTGGTCACAGTTTCTTTTTCTTAATTCTTCTTTTTATTAAATAATCTTTCTTTATAGTTTGGTTGGTTCCAATCTCTCTCTGCTTATAAATTGTTTTCTTTATCTTCTATAGAGATTTTCACTGCTTTGCCTTTTTTACCTTCTAGATTTGCTAATTCTTGTTTTTTTTCTTGTTTTTCTTGGTTTTTAACTAGCCATTTTAATTTTGTGTTGTAATAATATACTGGGAATTTGCATACTATCTGCATATCTTCGTTGCTCTTGAAATAAACACTAGCTATTTGGCATTAATTTCTATTTCTGTTCTAAGATATATATACTGCCTTTGCTTTTGTGTTTTTAATTTGTCTAAGTAAAGCTAATTCTATTGCTGATCTGGAGATATCTTTGATTAACGCTTTGTATCTACTTCTCTTTTGAAGTGTTTTGGTATCGAATATGTCTTGTTTTAGTCTTAACATTTTCTCTTCTTCAAGATGTACCACCCAGATTATTTGTAATAGCTCTTTTTTCTTTCTATCTCTTGGCTCTATTTGTATGTGTGCTGCTTTGTTTTTGCTATTTGCTCTAATGCTTACAACTGCTGCTTTTCTATAAAAACTAAAATATCTTCTAATTTGGTTGGTTTTCATTTCAATTAGGATATCCTATACTGTAATATTTATCTTTTCTGGTTTTTTCTTCATTTTAAGTTTATACTCTTTGAAATCTTTGAGTGTTTAGATTGAATTGTAAATATTGTCATTGTTTATACTTTCTTTATAATCATTGGGGTTGCAATTTTTTGTATTAGCTCTTCAGTTTTTTTGGTATCTTTTTCCTTTTCCAAGGGACCATTTTGGGAATTTGAGAAGCTTTCTATATTTTTGACTATTTTTATAACATCAGATTTCTCATCTGCATTAGCCATTTGTATAGCTTTTTTGTTTTCTTGTTTGTTTTTGTCTCTAATTTCTTCTGTTTCAAAATCTAGCTGTTCTACTTCTTGTTTAATTAGACTATCTATCAAACTATTTGTATCTGAGTTTTTTGTATCTGAGTCTTTCATATTACTATTGCTATCTTTATTGCTAGTCAGCTTTTCTCTATCTCTTATTCTGATATATTAGTGATAGTTGTATGTTTCTATAATATTTCTAAAAAGACATATTATCTCTAGTATTGCACCTGTTATTGCTGCTAGCTCTCTGTCTATTCTCAATATTTCTGGCTCATGAGCTTTCAATATTTCTTTGAATTCATCTTCTGTTCTGGTAAAGATTTGTTAATATTTGTCTAACTTCCTATACTAGATTATACTATTAATTGTTTTTTGATTATCTTATATTACTGATCCTTGCATTATATTCTCGGTTGCTATAGTGTTTTGCTTATATAATCTGTTTATATGTTTGTTTATATTTTGTTTATTTTGGGTTTTGTGTTGTCTGCTTATTCTCTTGCCTAAATTAGATACAAACTTGTTTGTTTTGTTTTGTGTTTATACTTGTAAACAGATTTGCAGTACAGGGTTATTGCATATCTCTAATTTTTGAAAAAAAAAAAATTTTGTATGGTTTTTACTTGTAAAAAGATTAGTTATCTGTGCTGTAGCCTTTTATTATTTGCTAGAATATTCTATCTTTTATGAAACTTCTAGTTGTTTTTGGTATTTTTTTTCTTTTTCCTTAATACTGTTTGTATTGTAACTTAGTCTAGTTTTTCTTCTAGCTAGTAATATTTCTTTTTTTGCAAATTTGATAAAAAAGCATCAGTAATATAAGTAGATTCTAAATATATAATAATTTTATTCTAATATACTATTTTTAAAACTATATTACTATTGCTATTAGTATTACTATTGTTATTCTTTAAAAACATATACCTTAAAATCTCTACTATTGTAGAGTAAATCTAAAAAGGTTTGTGTAATGTTAATAATACTATATAATTTTTTAAAAGAGGATATTCAATTTGGCAGAGCCAAGTATATACTTTATTAGATAGAAAATATACTAGATCTCTCTTTATATTAGAATAGATACTACTTTTCTATACTATTTACTAAATATACTAAATATTCTATATGTTTTAAATATTCCAAATATCCCAAATATACTAAATATGCTAAGTATGCTATTTATAGTAATACACTAATACAAACAAATATATATTTGATTATTAATTATAATATATATATTTTTTTTAAATTTAGGCAATTTTGCCAGTATTTTATTAAGATTCTAAATATAATATTAATATACAAAATACTGAATAAATATACCTGTTTATTTCAAACTTGCAAATCTGATATCACCTGGCTGTTTTAAACCTAATTGCAACTCACTATACTAATCTAAAGTCTAAAATTAGAGACTTATATTAAACTAGCCAAATTGCCACACTATAATAGCTTTTTTTTTCTTTCTATTCCTTTAACTAATAAGAAATATAATAAGGATAATAAAAGAAGTAAGTGTTTAAAAAAATATATATATCAAGAAAATAAAAATACAAAAAAAAAAAACAAAAGTAATAGAAGAAAAAAAAGAGTAA